ACATGCATCAAACTTATTCAAATTAATCTGTTGGGGAGATAAAATGTGCAAGATAACGTTCACATACTAACAAAAACATCTAAGAATGTATCTTTTATTCTCCAGTACTGAAAACAGAACCGAGAAGGGAGATTATATGCGCTGTGACGCAGCTCTTGGAAATGACCTTTTTGTTCGTTGTCTGTCATTTCGAAGCTTACCTTGCATACGGTTTTCTTTAGTTTTAATTTGCCTAACTATCGATCTGACCCAGTAGACGCCATAATCCCCCTCTGTCTCTCTCCCGCGTTCTTTTTTATATTTTTTTTAATGGTGGGTGTTTACTCAGTTGGCTAGAGCAGTGCTGATTGGGGAGAACGGAGGTGCGCTCACTCTATTGGTTAGTAAGACTGCCACTCAAGGCTGGCAGTCATGCATATGCTCTGGAACAAAGTAATATCGCGTCCATATCGCAGGCTTTGCGATTAGGAAATCGCAACGCCTCAAATCACAAGTTCGATGCGATTTCGATTAATCGCACAGCCCTAATGCGTACCGAACCGAAAGACCCGTGCCAAAACGGTTCGGTACGAATACGTGTACCGTTACACCCCTAGTATATATGTATTGCGCACATGTAAATATTGCACAGTTCCATAGTGTTTGAAAAAGTCCTTTGTGTAATTTATGCATTTAGTTCTCTGGAGGTGCGAGCCTGAACAACCCTGATCAGAACAGAAAGATCCTACATTACAGTCATTTTAATATTTATTACCAATGATTTTGCATGACACAGTTAAACTTTGACACTTACCCATAAGGTCAGCGAATCCCCCGACAGGAAGTCGGCACGTGCCGGTCACAAACTGCAGCAGACGCATGCGCTTCTCATTGTCGATCTCCTTCACAAACTAAACACAGACAGACAACAGACGATGCATCTCCACATTTATGAACATCTGGGTTTAATTTAATTAGTGGTCTGATGCTAAAGTGTGAGATTAACAGCTACTGGTTAGTCTAACCTGCCAAAACCAGCCGATCTGTTTGCTGCTGCGAGCGTAGTGTCTGTAGATGGTGCTCCTCTGCCAGTCGACCAGATCGATCTCCTGCATCCCACACAGCATCACCTACAGCACAGTTACACGTTCAGAACATACTGTACTAAACACGGTTTACATTTAGAGAAACTATGGCCTTATTTATATACATCTGATATTAACAGCAGATACAAAATACAGTTGAAATTTGTCTTGTGACATTTGGACATTAAAAAAGCCTTTGAACATTATGAAGTGTCGTTTGTACCTCCAGTTCTTTGGCATCAAAGTATTGCAGGTACTGCTGCGGCAAGACCTCATTAAAGCCCTCGAGAAACGCCTGAGTCTGTTCCTCGACCCCTCTGGACAGCCTCCACTCAGCAACCAACCTGCAAACACGTTTGATTTCACAATCACTCACTGACATTATGGCTAATATGGCAAATTTGTTTATTTTGGTACAAAATTCCTAATTGTTTTTTTAAAAAAACATGCTGAAGACACAAATGTAACACAAGAGACAAATAAGCAATACTTTGAACTCGCATTGAATTTTCATAAGATATTTTTACAGTCCTAGTAGCTAACTTTTTTGTAAATGTAAAAAAAATTATATAATATTTAAAATAGTTATATTATTATTCATATAACTATATATTGTATATATATGATACATCTAATATAATATTTTGAAATATAAAACACTGATATGGAGTCATGCGGGACACTTTTTATGATGGAAGGATGCACTTTATTGGACTTCTTTTGAACTATTGAAAAAAAAACACCAACTCACTGCCATTATAAAGCTTGGAAGAGCCAGGATAAGACAATATTTTTAATTTAGAAATAATTGTTTAAAATTATATATACATATATATATATATATATATATATATATATATATTTAGC